CCTTTTGTTTTTTTAATTTTATTTTTTATTGGTACACATTTGTGATGCATAATGATTACATCACTGTAATATGATGTCTTTAACCCTTTCAGGAAGTCTAGAAAAGAGTAGCTTGATCAAATGGAATTTTATTTTTACTTTTGGAGGAATTTCTATATTTACTGTCATCATGGCTATATTTGTTTATAGTCCCATCAAAAATATAGAAAGGTTCTTTTATCCCCCACAGCCGCACCAGCATTTTATCATTTGTTTTCATCACGGTAGCTATTGTTTCTGAAGTAAGATGGAATCTTTGTATAGCTTTAATTTGCATTTCTCTAATGGCTAAAGGTGTTAAACATTTTTTCATGTATTTATTGGGCAGTTGCACTTCTAAGAAGTGTCTATTCACTTCACTGGCCCGTGTTTTGACTGTGTCTTTTATTATCAGGAATCTATTTTTTTTTAATTCTCCTTGTATTTTGGATATAATTTCTCTGTCTAATAGATGGCTAGCAAAAATTTTTTCCCATTCTGTATGTTGTCTGTTCACTTTATTCGTTGTTTCATTTGCTTTGCAGAAGATTTTTAATTTGATATGATCCCATTTGTGTATGCTTGGTACTATTTCATGTGCAGGTAGAGTTCTGTTTAGAAACACCTTGCTTCCACTTATGCTTTCAAGAGTTTTACTTGTATTATCTTCCATTTGATTAAGTGTTTCTGTTTTCACACTTAGATCTCTGATTTTTACTTCATTCTTAGTTTACTGCATAGCTAAAGATATAGGTATGAAGTCAATCTTCTGGAGAGCCAGTTTTTCCAACAGCACTTGTTAAAAAAGCTATCTTTTGCATGTTTTTGGATCCTTTGTCATATAACATTTTTGACTTTTTTCTTTTTGTTTCTTTAGTAAGATTTACTAAGAGTTTGTCTAATTTGTTTATTCTTTCAAAGAGCCAACTCTTTAGTTCATTGATTCTTTGTATTTTTTGAAAGTTTCAATTTCACTTATTTCTCTTTTACTCGCTTAGGGTTTGAATTTGTTCTTGTTTTTCTACAACTTTAAGGTGAATCATTAGGTTATACTTGAGTACATTTTATTTCTTAGATGTGGGCATTCGCAGCTATGAATTTCATCTTAGAATTACTTTCAGTGTATACATTAAGTTCTGGTATGCTGTACTGCTGCTGTTGTTTAACCTTAGGGACACATTTTTTTTCTTGATAGTTTCTGTCATCCCTTGTTCACTTGGGTGAGTACTGTTTAATTTCCAAGCCTTTGCACACTTTGTATGATTTCTTTTGCCCTTGATTTCCTGTTCTATTGGGCTATGATATGATAATGTGTATGAGATACTTTTCATTTGTTTGCATTTACTTAAGTGTATTTTATGAGTTACTATGTGGTCTATTTTGAAGAAAGTTCCATGTGCTTCTGAGAAGAATGTATGTTCTGTTATTGGGTAGAACACTTTGTAGATATCCATTAATTCCACTTATTTGAATATTTCATTCAAGTGTTATATTTTATTGTTTATTTTGTCTAATTGATTTGCCAATCATTGAAAATGGGACCCTGAGTTCCCCCACTATGATTGTATTGATGTTTATCTGATCTTTTATTTTTCAGTAGTACTCATTTTTGTGAGTTTGGGTGTGTCATGGTTCCGCGCATTTGTGCTGATAATTGTTATCTCTTCCTGTTTCATTATTCCTTTAACCAATATGTTGTGGCCTTCATGGACTCTTCTAATCAGTTTTGGCTTGAAGTACACTTTTATGATAAGAGAGCAATTTCTGCTTGATTTTGAGTTCCTGTTGCATTGAACATTGATTCTTAGCCTCTAAATTCTTAGAATATAAACTTCTTTTTGGGTTAAATGTGTTTTTTGTATAAAACATACCACTTGTTTTGTTTTCACCTATTCTCCCAGTCTGTATCTTTTGATTGGGTAATTGAAACCATTCTCATTGACAGTTCTTACTGAAAGATATTTATTTATTCCTGTAATTACATTAGTTTCCTATTGCTTCCTCTCTTTTTCCTTTTATTAAACTGCTCTGCCCACCCACTGTATTCAATCAACCCTTTTTTGTCATTGTCAGCTTCATTTTCTCTTTCTAGGGTATCCTTGGCAATATTTTGGGAGTGCTGATTTGGTGATTATGAATTTTAGGTGATTTTTTAATTATGGAAATATCTTATTTCTGTATCAATTTTGGAAGATAATTTTGCAGGATATATCAGTCTGGGGTAGAAGCTGATTTCTTTCAGGGCCTTAGTTTGTATAGAAAAACCAGCTATAATTCTAATGGATGTAGTTTTTACAGGTGATTTCTTATTTTTCTCTGACAGCTTTTTAAAGTTTGTCCTTGTGTTGGGTTTCTGACATTTTTACTATAATATGTTGCTTAGAAGCTCTTTTCTGATCATAGTTATGTGGGTTTTAAATGCCTCAGTTATCTACATGTTAAATTCCTTTCCCATATTTGGAAAAGCCTCTGTTATTTCAGTAAATAGGTTTTTCATCTCATTTTGATTTTATTCTGATTTTTCCATAATTCCAATTAAAATTACATTAGCTTCTTTGTGTCATCTAGCAGTTGTTATAGCCATTTTTCGTGTTCTGTTGTTGTTTTTAATGTATCTCATTAATTGTTCTCTGACAACAGCTCTGTCTTCTAGTTTTGGCATTCTGTCCTCACACTGGTCACTTCCTTTGCCGATACTTCCACTACAATTTTTAATCTCTTGAATTTCTGTTTGGTGTCTTTTTATGAACTCTTACTTTTTTTGTGCTGATCATTCATGTTTTCTATTGTTTTGGCTCATCTAGCTTTTTTACTGTCTTCCATAGATTAGCTGATTGTTTTGATATATCTTCTTTGAGCTTAACAAGTGCCTTACTGATCTGGTGATCATCCCTGTTTCTTTTGTATAATCAGCTATGTTACTTTTGATTTTTTCCCCTTAGATGCTACAAGTATCAGTTTTGGGGGAGATCTGAGTTTAGGGAGGCATTTTGCTCTTCAAATTTCTATCTTTTTATTTATTTTTTGATTCATTTTTTACTTGAGGCTTTCAGGTTGATTAGAAGGGAAAGATTTGTAGCTGCTTCAGAGACCACTTTAGCTAATATCTGTTTTTCAGCTATACTTTCTGAATATGGCTATTTTCTTTTGTGAATGTCCCAGGTTCTAACTGCCTCTGTGTAGAGAGGTTGCAAGTATATTTGAATAGTACCTAGCTCTCTGGGAACAAAGTGCAATACAGTCAATGACACAGAGGCCATCTAAATATTGGCATCTAGAAAAGACCAGTTATTAGCAACTGTATATTACTATAGTAATAAAATCATCTACAGTAATGGCATAAAAAACAAACTGGATATAGACATATCCTAAGAACCATGTGCCACCCTTAACCATAGGAATAAGATCTATAATTATAATATGAACATTAAGAAAAACCAAATACCGGCCTGTAGTAAATATCTACTAAATGGAGCTATTTTACTTCCACTAACAACAGAGTAATATTTAAACAATAATTGCATAGAGTTAACTAGCTACCTGATGATCCATAAAGCTTTATGCTTATACTAGCAAAGGTAGGTAGGGCAGAAAACTAGAGAATTTAAGAAGTAAAATTTGAAAGATTTATCCATGAAAGGGCTTCACTGCATTTTTACTCTGAAGGTAACAACACTGGATTCCTTCTCAGACTGTTGCCTGCCGTGTAAAGACATCACTTTTAGGATAAAACCCCAGAAAGCGTTTACAGTCTAAAACACTCATGGTTTTTCTTGGGGTTAGTTCTTCTGGTGCAGCCCAGTGTTGCTCCCCTAAGCTACTGAGCCTCGGGGTTCACCTTATTTCTGTGGCTACAGATTCTACTCCCCATGAGCTGCAGTAAGCTGCTGCACTGCTTCATTCTTTCCTCTGCATTGGGGTCCATTTCTCCAACCTCTTTGTAGCTGCTAATTTGCCTTTCAGTTTCCTCCCAAATCCCAGAGATCTACTTCTTTATTTCATTTTGTCAAGCTGTTATTTTCCAGGAGTTTGCATTCCAGGTCCTAGAGAGGTTGCATTTCCATCATTTAGGTTCTCCCTCATGTTGTTTCTTGATGTTCAGCCTTCTACAAAATGCTTGCACTTATATCAAGCAATCATATGAAATACCACCATCTACATGATACCAAAAACTAAACACAAGAACTACAAAATCAAATGATTTTTCCAAGGTCACATTAAGTAGCACAGTCAAAACAGAGGAAGGAAGGCAGACAGGAAAGCAAGCAAGAAAGAAGGTTGTTCTCCAAATAATCATGCTAATTTTAGACTCATAATTTTTTCAGCTTGGTGGTATAGTAACAGTTCTATGATCAAAATTTTGTCTCTTCTACACACTTTTCCATAACCTTATCTATCAGGCACCCAAACTAGCTGCTTCTCCTAAGAGTGAGTTAAGAAGAAAACCCATTCTAATACCCATCCCTGCAAAATGTCTTGCTCTGCTTCAATCAGCTAAATTAGCTCTTTACTTGAGTTCTTTATCAGAAACTTTATCAATTTTAAACTATTTTAAACTCAAGTATTCAGAATACTTTCTAAGTCATTCCTCTAAATGCCAACATAAAAGTACTGTAGCAGTGTTCCACTGAGAGGTAAGGAAACTGAATTTCAGAGTGCTACAAAAATCAAGTAACACTTGCTACACAGGTATTGGAGTCAAGTAAATGATTACAAAGATCACATGCGTATTTATATTCATCAATTCTTATAAACACCATCCAGAAGAAGTTGCCTTTTGATGTAAAAGGACTAAAGATTAAAGAGTTTTTCATTCAGCAGGATGAACTGATAGTTCAGGCTTAAGGTGGGCAGAGATGCTGTTCATAAGTCATTTGCTCTTTAATTAACAATTAAAAGGTGGGAAATCCCTGAGATGAGTGACACCTTCCTAACTCCAATATCACTTGGCTATCCCCAATGCTTTTTCCCTTTGATAACAGGACATGGTGACCACAGCATCTACTTACCTCTTTGATGCCACAGAAAAAAGATTTTTTTTCAAAACTGTGTCCATATTGATTCCTGAGACTTGGAAAGCATATTCTGAATACAGGAGGCCAAAACATGAGACCTACAAACACGTAAGTGCCAAAATCTTCTCTAGCGAAAAAACAATTTTTCTGATACTCTCAAGTTTTGCCACAGATTTATTGTTTCAGATTCACTTTAAGTAAATATTTTCATTCATGTTCTCGATGTTTAACAACCTTTTCCAACACCTTCAGGCTGATGTGATAGTGGCACCACCGACCCTCCCCAACAGAGATGAACCTTATACAAGACAGTTCACAGAATGTGGGAAAAAAGCAGAATACATTCATTTCACCCCTGACTTTGTACTGGGAAAAAAAGAAAATGAATATGGACCATCAGGTAGGAAATTTTGTCAAATGTCTAATTTTTATCAAGCAGGTCTGACTCAGATTAAGTGAGAAGACTTTGGATACAGAGACCCCAGGTTATAATCATATCTCTTCTGCATATCAGTTTTGTGGGAACTAAAGAAGTGATCTTCTATATCAAAACTCATTTCCAGTAAAATGTAAATGGAAGAGTTCCTACATTTTGCAGTTTTTTGAACTAGATAATCTATATAAATATCCTGTGATACTCAGGGTTTGCAAGGAAAATAATTTAATACAGGATACATAATTTATAGAATTATTTTATAATAGTCACCCAAAGAATCCATACCAAAAAAAAAAAGTGCAGGAAATCTTTCCACAAACTAAAATCAAGGAATACAGCCCAGGGCCTGGATCCCAGGGCAATATCCTGCCTGAGTCCAGCTGAAGACCTAGAGCCAATGAAAGGGTCTCATGCAAATCCATCTCATGGATCTGCCCTGGGAGGGCTCAAAGGTCAACAGTGGAAGCCTAAAAGTCTGTGCCAGCAGGATAAAGGATCTCTGCCAGTAGGCTACAGTAGTTCTGCACTGGGGCCAAGAAATCATGTTCAAAGTAAGGACTAGATCTCCCCTGAAAAGTGCCAAAGTCAATGCAGCAACAGCGAGCACGCAAGCTCCTCTAACAGCTGAGTTCATATCAGGAAGCCAGTGTGACAGCCTTCTCCAGGAGATTTAACAGTACACCGTCTTGCCTTCTGGAACCAGGAAGTTATGCCTAAAGGACCAGAGCTCCCCCAAAGTGAACCACAGGCATTCTCAGGAACAACAAGGTCCCATCTTCCTCTGACAATGAGAACAGCCAAGTTCATATCAGGAAAGAAGCTCAACAATCTCCTCTAGGAGAACCAGTGATAACAGGAGAACCAACAACACCATTTTTTCTTCTCTTGATCTCCTTTTTATGTTGTTGGCAACAATCCTCATGTGGGCCATCCCCACCCAGCACCACATTGATTCAGTTCAGCTGAGTTTTACAAATGGTTCACCAGTTGTCAATCACCACATATACTTCATGAAATGAATAATGAGGTCTTTAGAAATTTTCATAGAGCAAGAATACTAAATGTTTTCTTAAAGCATTACTTTGTAGATTTTAATTTTCCAGCTCACCACAACTGAATAGTAACTATGAATATATGAGTTCAAAAGTTTTCAAGTATATAGTAAACTGAAAACCACCATGATACAAGTTACTGATCAAGAGAAAACATTCATAAACTGTTAGTTGATGATACAGTTATATAAATTTTTGTTTCTGGCAGAAGAAATTATCTCTGATTATTATTTGGACCTAGTTTACTAAATCATCTAATTCAATGTCATCTATTTTGATCCATATGTTAAGGCCATTTTTAACAGTGAAAGCATATTACTTTCAAAAAGTTGATAAGGATAGCCATTTCATATGTCATTATTCAGTAAAAAATTTTATGATCCTCCAAATCTCAGACTCATCTCTCTCCTCCTTATGCTCAGTAAGTCAGCATTCACTCATTCTCTTGTGTCTGACAAAACTCATCCTGACCTTTAATTATTACCCAGATTGGTTCCACATGCCAACCCTTGAAAATTCCATAGCCCTTCCTAAACCAATGTTGCATCTCGCCTAAGTCTCATCCTCAGTTTTGTTCTCTGCAGCCCCTTTAACCCTTTGCACCCTCCTAGCTGTTCTTTCTTTCTACTTAGCATGTTCAGCAAATAGTTCAAATAGCTTAATTCCCTCACAACTCTCATGCTCAGCACTGAAAGACTCGGCCAGTCTCTATCTCCCACCTCCAGCTGTGATAAATGAGGAAGACTATCCCAAGTTTTAAGGCCAGTGCCCCTATTGGCACTCATGATCTTTCTCACTTTTCCACCATCTTCCATTGCTGCCAGGTCCTGCCCCTCCTCTTAGATAGCTCTTTATTCTATCGCTAACTCACATTTGCAAACCATCATCTAAAAAACACAAGTATTTGGGAAAATAAGATGAGGAAGAAAGCCCTCAAAATGTATGCGATGTAATAATAATTATAATAACAAGAATAGGTCCCTAGAAAGATTATTTGGAATAGTCAAGCAGCACCTCTTTGTGGTTAGAGACTGCCACAGTTGATGTTGAGTGCGGGCGTGTGCACGCGCGCGCGCGCGCGCGCGCGCGCGCACACACACACACACGAATACTACTAAGATCACAGGAACTAGAAATGAGACATCAATGTAGATGAGACTAGAATTCTAAGTGAGAAGGGCGGCTTTTCAGGTGAGCACGAGGCAAGGCAGGTGGAGGGGAGCATGTCTGAGAGAGGATCCCTTTAAGAAGGGAGCAGCAGGGGCAGGCAATTCCACATTGTCTTTAAAGCAGCTGAATCCCTGTTTCAGTAGCCACCTTTACCTTCTATGATGAAGGTTACTGTCTCACTGTCACTAATATGACTTTGTTTACCAAAAAGTAAACCGTTAATTTTGATGAGTAGTGTGTAACGATCTAACTTAGGGAACCAGTTACAATGCAGACTCTCAAGCAGTGGTTTCGGGTGGGCTTGAGACTGTTTGCAACAGCTTCCAGGGGATGCCCTTGTCCCTGCACTGGGCCGCTATCTGAGAAGGAAGAGCTTAGAGGTGACCCTCGTGTTTCTCCCCTGTTCAGACACTTCTGTTCTACTTTCAGGTCTCATATGAGGTTATTTGAGGAAGGGAAGCACACATGTGGCAGAACTGACTGTTTTCAGACTCTCGCCATTTTCATTGCCTCTGAAATTTTCCCTCACTTTGCTAAAACAAAGTTTTATTTTTCTATATCTCAAGCTGTGGATTCACTTTTATTCTTTCATTCTCTGGAAATTCTTGTTGAAGATGTTTTACCTAATTCGTGCTCTGAAGACATCTCCAAATGAAAGACTATTCCATATCATATAAAGTTTTATATTTCTTAATACTGCATATTGCCCTTACTTTTGAAAATATTGTTTTATATAAATAATATTATATATACTATAAATGAGTCACTTCATTTTTAAATTCCTAAAAGCCTATATTATCTGCAAGAATGTTTCTGAATTTTTGCTTCATTCCCAACCTTGTCAGGAACATTTTTAGAAAATTTTTCCTAGGTCCATCCATCTTAAAACAATAGAATCAGTGTGTATCAAATTATGTAACTGATAGGGTTCTTGTTTGGAGATCTATGAACCATTGTAATATCTAAGACCTTTCTATCTTCTAGAATAGAAGGAGGAATCCTAGTTCATTCTGTTCATAGGTTATATTCCACAAATGACTTACTGATTCAATATGTTCCCATGGAGTAAAAACATAATATATGTGGTAAAAATATGTTATTTAATGCAATAGGTTCTTTTATAAACAGATATATAAATATCAGGGGTGATGGAAAACCTAAATGCAAATCCTTTTGTAACTGAAAGATCATCTTCAAATTTTTCAGATAAGAAACTTGTCACTTGAATTTTGTTACATGTTTGAAATGTTTTCCCACAGGGAGACTGCTCGTCCATGAGTGGGCCCATCTCCGCTGGGGAGTGTTTGATGAGTACAATGAAGATCAGCCTTACTACAGCGCCAAGTCAAAGAAAATTGAAGCCACAAGGTACAACTGCTTAAATTTCCTTAGATAACCTCAGACTTAGTTGATTTTATTCTCTTTACACTGATTTGCTATAAATGACAATCATTTCGCTGTGCCCCAAAGCAGAGGATAGATGCAATATCACAAAATTGCTCTCATTTTTCTAGAAAGTTTATCTTAATGCAGCTAGTTTTCCATTTCAAATATACATAACTGCAGTGGGAAGCATTTGTTGACAATTTGACACATTTAACACCTGCCTACCATAGCTGCTAGAACTCACTTTGACTGAATGTAAACACCATGTGGATGGACTTACTATCTACTGTGAGAAGATTAGAGTTGTTCACCTTACAGCAAAAACGAACAAAAAATAATTGAGCACTGCTGAATGGTTAAGAAGTTTCAAGGAACTGACTAGGAACACCTTGTGGTTCTATGAAATCCATTTTAAAATGACAAGCATTACCATTAATAATGAAGTGTTTTTCTTGTTGATTCTGAGATAGAGAGAGCAAAAGGGTTGGAGAATCCACTTAAAATCAGGTGCCCATCAACCTCAGGATGTACTGTCCTGCCAGTGTGAAGGAATTGTCATTAATGTGTAAATTGAAACATACACAATTTCAATAAAGTCTCTTTCTCAATTCTATTGCACGGTTTTTAGAAAAATATCTCATAGATTCCATTTGTTTATGTCATGTCCCTCCAAATAGCTTTTTCTGTCCTACACTCATCATCAGTGTTCCTATAGATTGGTACCATGATGGTAACAAGTTTGGGGGAATAGAAGCATAGACATATTTAGGAGACTCCATAAATGACTGAAGGAAATCTAGTCATCACTTTCTCACTTTCAAATGAAATGCTATGGGAAAGAAGGGACACGGTCACATCACTGCTTCTATGCTATAGACATTGCAATCTGTTGCCAATTTCATGGAAGCACATTTATAATGCCTCCACCACTCTTTATTCTACTGTCCCTTATGACAGCATCTCACAATCTGCTTCCAGCCACATTTCTTTTAGATAAGAAAGCCCTTGAATAATCAAAACTCCACCTTATCACATTTGGAGAAGCATACAGAAAACAAGATAATGTAGTACCTAGAGAAAATGTTTTCCCAAGTTCCCACATCAAGCTGCCTACAGAGCATTCACCAACATAAGGCCAGCAGGAGACAGATGTAAACAAGGGCCTGGCAGGTTCCATTACTTCTGAGAACTCTGTCATATATGCCATTTAAATGTTTCTAAATCACAGCCTTTTACTATAAAAAATTGCTTTTACTGGAACTCTTAAAATTCATTACGTGCATAGGGAACAAGTGGAACACACAAATGAAACTCCTTGCTATAAACATCATCAAGAATAGAAACACTTAAGATTTTATTAAGTAATAATGACTAAGTTGCCTCAAAGAATAACTGTCACGTATTTTCAGGTGTTCTGCAAGTATCTCTGGGAAAAACCGCGTCTATAAGTGTCAAGGAGGTAGCTGTTCAACTAGAAATTGCAGAACAAATTCTACCACAAAGTTGTATGAAAAAGATTGTCAGTTCTTTCCGGATAAAGTTCAAACAGAAAAGGCTTCCATAATGTTTATGCAGAGTATTGATTCTGTAAGTGTGTCAATCTTGGCTCCTGAGATTTATAATCAAAGGCCATATCTGATTTTATTTAATTGATTATTTTCTTTTATTGTGGTGCTGGTGACTGAACCCACAGTCTTGCATATGCTAGGCATGTATTGTGTTCATAGTGTTACACCCTCTTCCCCAACATATCTGATTTAAAATTTGTATCTGGATCACAGGAAGATTAAATGTATTATATAAAATTCTTCAGTCACTGTATGAAATATTGTAAGCACTTGACTAATGTTGCCTACTATTACCATTTTGCTATGTTTCATTTAGTATAACACTGATTCCCATTAATTACATTTCATTCAATTAAAGCATATTTGCAGGACATAGTTTAGCTTTTGAGGTTTACAAGTAAGTATTTTAATGTATGGTATAATAAAAATTACTTTTCTATTTGTCAACTTTCTAGGTTGTTGAATTCTGCAATGAAAAAAACCATAACCAAGAAGCTCCAAGTCTACAAAATCTAAAGTGCAATTACAGAAGTACCTGGGAGGTCATCAGAAAGTCTGAAGACTTTAACAGCACCACACCTATGGAGACACCACCTCCTCCACCTACCTTCTCACTGCTGCGGATCAGAGACAGGATTGTGTGCCTCGTTCTCGATAAGTCAGGAAGCATGAGTGTAAGTTGGGCCCATTTTTTCTGAGATTAGAAATGGAGATAACTGACTGGAACATGCTGTACTTTACCTGTCCCTGGATTGTCCCAAACTTCTAAGATAAAGTGCCATCATTTCTTGGAATCATGATTCCAGATACTGCAAAGAACACTTGCAGTTAAGAAACAAAGATGTCAGCAGAGTTAACAAGACCTTACCCAGCTGTCTCCATTGTTTTCTCAAGGAAATAGATGGTTTAGTGCAGAGAGCTCATAGTGAAGCTTTGTTTCAAAGATAAGAGCTGGGGATTGAAAATGAAATTTTATTAAGCTAAGTCCCTTTTATTGAAAATGTGTGAGAACCTTGAGGAGTAATGGCTGCTAAGCACTATCCCAGGTTTTAAAAAGATCAATCAGCAGTGTTCCTCACATAGTATTATCTTATTTGTACCATCTGTATGAGTGACTTCTTCACACTCATACAAACAAAATCATCATAAAAATATATGGATATTAAAGAAAAAAGTCCCAAAGTCCATCCATTTATCTATAAGTGTCTCAACTTTTTCCTTTTTTATGGTTGATTAGTACTCCATTGTATAAAGAAACCGTAACTCATTAACCATGGATATTTGGGTCGTTTCCATGACTGAGTTAATATAAACTGTGCTGCTATAATCATGGGTGTGCATATATTACTGTGGTATGATGCATTTAATTCTATTGGGAATACACCTAGAGGAGGAATAACTGGGTCCAGTGAGATCTCTACTCTTAGTTATTTGAAGAATCTCCACACTGATTTCCACAGTGGTTGCACTGGTCTACACTCCCACTCAACATGGAAAAGGGATCCTTTTTTTTTTTTTTCCATGCCCCCTCCAGTATTTGTTATTGGTTGATTTCTTGATAATAGCCATTCTTTCTGGAATGAGATAGAATCTCAGCATTGTTTAATTTGCATCTGTCAGATGATCATTGCTTTTGAACATTTTTCTTGTATTTATTTTCTGTTTCTACTATTTCATCTTAGAAGTATCTATTCAGTTACCATCCCCATTTTTGGAGTGGGTCTTTATATTTGCGGGGTCTGGTTTTTTTTTTTTTTTTCAGTTCTTTATGGGTTCTAAATATAAGTCCTTTGTCTGAAAATCAACTGGCTAAGATTATTTTTTTCCCAGTATATGAACTGCCTCTGTAGTGTGTTGGAGATTTCTTTCATTGTGTCTTAAGTGAAATAAATTGAACATACATATGTAAATATTTCCTTGTATCTCTGATGTGAGAAAGTGAAAGTGTAAATAAGCAAAATTTATTATAGATATTGTGATATGGTAAGTAATTGTTCAAAAGGAAAGGCAATTCAGGGAGTGGGTGAAAAGGAAAAGAAAAATGTTAGATAAGTTGAATAAAATGGAAAAAAAATCCTACGTAAAAAAGGAGGCAGATAGGGAATTCATACAAAGGAGGGGAAATGGAAGAAAAAAAGATATAAGATATGTGCAAGTATAAATTTCTGTAATGAGTGTAATCATTATGTGTATATAAATTCTATCAATAGCCTGAATTTTGATTAGGAACCCAGAAAGATGGTGTATTTGGGGCTAAAGAAATCATGCTGAGATCAGAAATAGTTGAAGATTATGGGAGAAACGTAGTATTTAAAAGGGCAGAGAATGATAGAGATTAATGAAATGGGCCACAGTGACACAGGATTTCAAAGACCGTCGTGAAGTACTGATTCTGTCACCTACAAGTGATCCAGGAAAAGTCACTGGGATGAGAGAGTTCTGATAGGGAGAAGATGAGCAGGGTGATAGCAGATCCGTGTGAAAGACAAAGCCCAGTAGTGGAGAGACCGCAAACACAGGCAGGTAGGAGTTCTTCACAGTGATTGGGATCAAGGAGATTAGAAGGAAATTGGGGTACTGGTTGTGAGGAGGTGGCACGGAGGAGTGGAGTGATGAGGAACTAGAGAAGACAAATATATGAGGAGTTGTACACATTGTGGTATCACCTCAAAAAAGGGTCTAAATTATTTTTAAAATAACCCATTCCTGATAATTTTATAAAACTTTCAGTGTGATATTTTTATACATGCAAATAACATATTTCGGTCATACCCAATGCAGTCATCTAGTTCCATCTATATACTGTAAATGACATAATTTCATTCTTCATGCTTGAGTTCAGTCCACTATGTTTATATACCATACTTTCTCATCTATTCACTTGTTAGTCACTTAGCCAGGTTCCATATCATGAGTGTCACATACTATGCTGCAAAAATATGAGTATTTAGGTATCACTGTGGTATGCTGACTTTAATGCCTTCTGGCATCTAACAAGAAGTGGTATAGTTATATGAAATACTGGTTCTACTTTTAGTTTTTAAAAGAAATTCCATACTTACTTTCATAGTGAAGATATGAATTCACATTACACCCCAGAGTGTAAAAAGATTCCTTTCCCTACTCCATCCTAACATGCATTGGTTTGTTATTTATTCTTTTATTATTTTAAAGAGAATAAAAAACAGAACAGAATAAAGCAAATCAGAACAAAGCAATGCAAGCAACACAGGTCTTCACAACAAGGAAAAAGGGTATCAACAGTGGCTACCATAATTTCTTCAAAATAATTTACTTTATCTGCACACACAATAATATCAAATATAATTCAATGAGCTGAGCTAAAATTTTCGTGTAGAATGCTGTGCATTTACCTAAAGACCTGAACATCTCTTTGTGTGCTTATCATCCAGTTATATTTCTTCTTTTGAGAAGTAAGCATCTCTTCAGTTCCCTTGCCCATTTATGGATTGGGCTACTTAGATTTTTGGTATTAGGCTTTTAGAGTAACTTATCTATGCTAAACATTAATGCTCGGTCAGCAGAGTAGCTGTGCCATACTGTAGACTGTTTTATGCTGTTGATTGATTCCCTTGATGTGCAGAATCTTTAATTTGACATAATCCCATTTGTGCATTCTTGCTGCTGTTTCTTGTGCTATTGGAGTCCAATTTGGAAAGTTCTTTCCTGTAATTACGGCTTCAAGTATTTCCAGTATGTTTCCTCTAAATGTTTCAAAGTTGCAAGACATACATAGGTCTTTGATCCACTAGAAATTGATTTTCAAGCCAGGTGAGAGATAATGACATAATTTAAAATTCTACACAGAAATATGCAATTTTCTGGGCACCATGTGTTGAAGGAGCTACCTTTTATCCAATGTAGTTTTTGGGTCCTTTGGCAAACCCAGGTGGCAGTCATATGAACATGTTTCTGAGTCCATTTTCTATTCTATTGTCCACCTGTCTATTTTTGTGCCAGAAGCATAGTATTTTTAATATATCTTCATAATATAATTTGAAATTAGGTATTGTAATGATTCCAGCTTTATTCTTTTTGCTGACCATGGCATTGGCTACTCTTTCTTTTTTGTGTTTTCATATGAATTCAGGATTGTTTCTCCTAGTTCTGTGAAGAATGACATTGGTATTTTGATGGAGATTACATTAAATGTATACCTCACTATTGGTGATGTGGCCATTTCAGCAATATGAATTCTGTGAATTCATAAACATGGAAGGTCTTTCCAACTGCTAATGTCTCTCTTCCTCATTTCTTGTCTTCTTTCACTTTTCATGGTGAAATACTTCCAATTCCTTGGTTAGGTTAATTCCTAGGTAAATATGTTGGAAGTTATGGAATAGAATAGTGTTCCTGAGTTCTTTCTCAGTTATTTTGATGGGTATGTAGAAAAGCCATTAATTTTTTGTGTTTTTTACCCCATATTATTGTTGAATGTATTTAGCCGATCTGAAAAACCATCAGTGAAGTCATTAGGAACTTCTGAATATAGGATCATGCCATCTACAAATAGCAATAATATGGTTTTTCCCTATCTTATTTGAATTCCTTTTATTTTTTTCTCTTGTCTAGCACTCTGCATAAAATTTCATGTACATATTGGATAGGAGAATGAGAATAAATATTCTTTTCTCCTACCTGATTTTAGAAGAAATTCTTTCAGGTTTTCTGCCACTCAGAGATTGGTGAGGTTGGTGGTGTGAATCTTACAGGTTACAAAAGTGCAATTCCAATCAAATCACTGGTGAATAAATTGTGGGGAAGAGTTAAGAGGAGAAGACAAAGGCCAGTGTAGGGAATGGGGCTCTCAGAATTTAATCTCAGCTCAGGTAAGTTTTCCACTTGGGGAAAAGTAGTCCTCAGTGAATGAAGCAAGTTCAACTCTGATGAACTCTAAAATAGTCTTGATTCGTGGTGAACATTGGTGACTTTATCTGAGATAGCTGGCGTATAGGCTAACAGTGTCACTGAAGCATCTCCACCTGGTGAACCATAATTCATATTTTTCACTCAATCTCCATCTGCCTTCAAAGTCTAACTACAGTATTTATCAGCCAGTAATCATCTCTAGTTTATAAACTCCTTACTAAACAGTGCGTGTCCCATAATACACAGTCATATTTTTCTACATTATCAGTTGAAAGAAGAGGACAATTTTTACCAGTCATAGCAGTTACTATTGAAAAATTCTTATCGGTACATGTATATACTCACTATGTGTGATGCTGTTATCTTCCAGTTGAAAACTACTTGGTTGTTTTCTTTCGCTTTTCATTCAGGCTGGTAGCCGCCTCATTCGAATGAATCAAGCAGCAAAACTGTTCTTGATGCAGACTGTGGAAAATGGATCCTGGGTAGGAATGGTTCACTTTGACAGTAGTGCAAGCATTAAAAGTGAGTTAATACAAGTAAGAAGCAACAGCGAAAGAGACACCCTGGTGAAGAGCTTGCCTACACAAGCTAACGGAGGAACTTCTATCTGCCGTGGGATTGAAAAAGCATTTGAGGTGAAAATCATCATGTTAAGAAAATGAAAGCACTATTTTTAAATTTATCTTGAATTACGCACTTCTTACACAGCTGTGTCTTTGTTGCTCATCTGTCACGCACTCTCTCACACAAACCTTGGGAAATATTAAGTTGAGTTCAATTCTTTCTGTGAATGGGGGAACCATGCCGTTCCCAACACAGTGACCCACCGTAAGTGCTGAGTGAATAAACTCACACAAGAAAGTAAGAGGTGAAGTAAGGGAGCTCAGCTTCATCCCAGGCTTTCATGTTGTACTCTGGTAGCAGAAGTGTGAGGGACATGCTCTCTTTAAAAGCATTTATGTATATTTCAGTTTGGTTCAATGCATATCACAATGTATTTTTCATATATGTAACACTTTGTTTCATGGCATGCAAAATTTCTAAAGTGAGTAGTAAATTTTTTCTCTGGTTCCAGCTTTGTTAGAGGTCTCTATGTCCCAACCTCTTTTCTACAATTCTACATGTACCTCTTCTCCAAGTCAAAGAAATTTGCTGGTCATGTGACATTTTTTCTCTTTTGGCCTAGAATCAGATTCTCAAAATGGTGCTCAAGGAAGTCATTGCCAGTTAAAACTATCAGACAAAATAAAATATAAGTACAATTTTAAGCTAAATTATTTTTCTATTTTGTATGGGCAGCTCGATTAAAACTCTGACTTTCAAATTCTAGGGCTATTATAAGTAAAGGATTGAAACTACAAATAGAACTCAAACTTTGCTCATTTGATCTTTAAACAACACTAACATGCTTACTCTGATGTTAGCCTCTATTAAAAGTAAATTAATAGTTATCCAATGTCTCAAACCTCACCATGTTTAGAACTGATCTTATCTTGCACTTCAAAGCATGCTAGGGATTTTCTAATTTGGAATCAATGACATTTTATGTTAAGTTGAATTATTAATAAATCAAGCTATACAAAGGACTTTATATAATGAAGGCTTCTAAAAGGATAATCAAGTTAAATAAAGTAAAAAAAAAAGTACTTATAGCTGCATATCTTGGATATATTTTGGGTGTCTGAACTTCCTGGGCTGAGATGAAGCCCTTGTTTAATGCCAGCAGCACTTCCCAAAGCCCTGCTCCAGCCAATGTTCATTTGGATAAATATTCCCTACATCAGCAGAGTAGGAAACATTTATAGCTCAGATTCCCTAGGACAACTAGATGTGTCAGTGTCTGCCTGTAATCCCAGCACTCTAGGAGGTCAAGTGAGACAGGGCATAAGTGTGAGCCAAAATGAGGTGATTTAGAGAAACACTGTCCCAAATTAAAGGGTAAAATGGGCTGGGGATATAGTTTAGTGCAATGGCACTGATTCAATCTTCAGTACAAACACAGGACAAAAAGATAACCCAGATGTTGATTCTAGATTCTGACTTTATAACAAAGGTGCTCTCTTCTACTCTACATGTTTTTTTTTTCTTTCTGTTCTCTGTATTTGTCTGTTTGCTCATTGATCTGTATGACTCACAGTGCTAACTGTGCCTGAAAAATGTTTGCAGGTGATTAGAAAGGTAGACCCCCAATTGGATGGGTCTGAAGTAGGGCTGCTGACTGATGGGGAAGACAACACAGTAAAGAACTGTGTTAATGAAGTGATAAAAAGCGGTGTCATCATTCATTTTGTCGCTCTGGGACCATCTGCAGATCCAGCAGTCACACAGATGAGGAACCAAACAGGTTAAAATATTTTTATACATTCTAGGCTTTGGGTAAGAAGGCGTTAATCTCTGGGTTGACAGCTGTGCACCTTCTCTTGAGCTCCTGCTCTGAGGATGCTGTGCCAGGGACAGGAGACCATAGTCAACCCAGACACAATCTCTGTCCTGAAGGTACTTGGTGCTGAATTGTATGGAAAGAAAAGAAAACTGCTAATTAAATCACATAACCAGACAACACTTCTTCTTAAGAATATAGATTAGGGGTTGGGGATTTAGCTCAGCGGCATAAGCGCCTGCCTTGCAAGCAGGCAGTCGTGAGTTCGATCCCCAGTACCGATAAAAAAAAAAAAAAAAAATGGAAAAAGCCAAAAAAAAAGAATATAGATTAACACTAATGTTTTATGTCTGATGTAATTAGCCTGCAGAATCTAAGCACCAACTTCATTAGAACTGTACTTTAAATAAAGTGAATAATTCTCTACAGTACTGCATAAAAACCATGAACTTAAACACACAGAACTGTAACCATACTTTAATTGTCTGATCATTTGATGTATTTATACTAGCTGACATTTGATGCTGAGATATGCTGGTATCTTGTCCTTCCAGGTTATCTTATTTTAAATTAGCATTTCAGAATTAATCTTACAGCTATCTGACACTGGTCTGCTTTAATAGGACATGTGAAAACTGTGACTTTCTTTAAACCTTTGCTTTATTAATCACTAAATGTGTAAGCACTTATTTTCTAGAAATTAACTTTGCTTGTGCATTTCCATTTTAGGAGGAAAGGAGGAATTGGCTTCAGATAAGGCTGAGAACAATGGACTCATTGATGCTTTTGCTGCCCTCACATCAGAAAATGTGGGTCTCAGCCAGAAGTCCATTCAGGTGAGAGCTCCCACAGCGGTAGGTTTGTGTTTGCATTTACCAGAGACACGAAAAATAATGTGTTGCTTCTATAACTTTTTCAAAGTGAAATTTTAATTAAAATTAAAATCTGAAGTAGATATGATTCCTTAATTTCATGAAGAAAAATCAACTTAGTGCTGAAATAAGAGTAAGCAAGGTCAAAATATACATTTTTTTTCATTTTTCTTAAAATTTAGTTAAAGAATAGCATTAAAGTCTAATAATAATATCCATTTCCCACGAATACCAGACTTTGTCCTAAATAAACAAACACATTTTCCTCTACTTTCCAACAAAGACAGCAGAAATTACATGAAATAGACTTTGCATTTATATAGATTGCTTTGGAGATCTGATCTGTAGATTTACCCTGTAAAAGTTTAAAACTTCATCTGATATCTAGCCTGGCAGTGAATAGCAGAAAAAAATCATCAAACGTGAGGGACATTTCTGAGATTTTTCAACCCAGTATGGAAAGAATGACGATATTACTGTGTGAAACTGACCAGCAGGAAGAAGTACAGTAATTGGAAAAGCTGATTTTGAGGATGTTGCTTTCAACTCAGTTTTTACTTTAATAATTTTGAATGAGTAGTGGTAACTCCAAGTAGCATATTTAATAGTAGAAATAGAGAATATAGTAGACATTTAATAGTAGAAATAGAGAATATAGGGTATTAGATTGAAAGTAGATTTTTATTTAGCCAAATCATGCTCTATGTGGGAAGCATATACAATCTTTGTCATTCAAACATTAAAGCAATTCAACAAAAAAGTTGGCTTTCCTCTACTAAGTACTGCCAAGCACTAAGTGCTAAAGAATAACTTCTTTAAATCACCTCTCAGAGAAGGTCCTATTTTTCTTTTCATTCTTCTTAGGATGCCATCCTCCACACATCTGTTTGACCTTTTCTGGAATACATTTGTGGCCCAGTCCAGTTCCTGACTCTATCCTTTGTGAAATATTATTTCAGGATTCCACATCAGAAAAATATCCATGAAAGTTTGTCTTAATTATTTATTAGCATGAATTTTATATCTGAGGCACTTATTGTGTCTTATTTGACTTAGCTACTTTCTTATCACTGACACAGAATACACTTACAGCTTTAAAGAGGAAAGGTTTATTTTGGTAACAGTTTATAGAACTTTCATTTCATAGTCGGCTTACTTCAAAGTGGGGTAGCATGGCTGAGGAGAAACAGCTTATATGGCAGGTAGCAAGCAGCAGGTAGTATAAAGAGATATGAAGGAGATATAGTATTCGATCCACACCTCAGTGACCCATTTCTTCCCAACATCACTTTTAATACAAACTGATCAGTGGTATAATTCACTGATGAATATCACACCTCGTGATCTAATCACCTTCACAAGGCCCGACATATGATCACAGGAGGCTTTTGTGGAACTTCTAGATACAAACTATTACTTTGCATGTCTGGTCATCTCAGGACTTGTCTCTTTATACAAAATTCATTTAGTCCATCTCTAAGCAATGCCAAAATCTTGACAGTCGTGGCTGAAATTCCCAATCCAAAGTCTTCTCAGAGATTTAGGCAAACTCTTAGCTATGAGTCCCTTAATAGCTAAAAGAAAGATTTTACAAGGTACAAAGTCACATTCACATTAGAAAAGGTAGGAACAGCACCAAAGCAAGCTTGAAACTCAGAAGGGCCAGCATTCCATCCTGTAGTTCCATGTCCAGCACTGGGAAAATATTGGTGAGATATGAACTCCAAGGGCTTGGCTGACTCCATCCCTGTGGCACTGCTGTTGGTTATAATTCACTGTTTCTATCTGGGGCGAATTTTCTCACTCTTGTTGGTTTTCCTCAAATGTGTCACATTGCTGATTTCTTCAATTTTCTAAGATCTCTGTTGTCCTTTCAGCTTCACACTCATGGGTTCACAAAATTCTTTCTCAAGAGTGTGCTGCTTGTCCTCCCAGGCCTTCTACTCAAAACAAAATTCCCACCAAAGCATTACATGGCCTGGAGTCCGTTGCCAGTGTGGTCCCATTCCCCAGTGAAACCTCCTGAACTTGATCTTTCCAGTGTATGTCTGTCACCAAGTTGGTCCTCGCAGCTCTGAACAGAATCTCCCATCAAGCTGGCTCACAGCATTCTAGGGCTCCTTTTCAGCCAGCATCTCCACACCTTTCAAACTGCTCCTGCATGTCAGTTCCACAGGCAGGGTTATAGCAGTGACCCCACAATCTATCTTAGCTGTTATTACTCAGACACAATACTTAACACCCAAAATTCTCAGCAGCAAAATTTTGTTTTAGTTCACAGTTTGTGAAGGTTTCAGTCCATATTCAGCTGGCATCGCTCATGGCTACAAAGCCACTGGCCCATCTGGTCCCAATAAAACTTTTAGCTAGAAACTCACCAGTGGAATAATGCAGAGTTGAGTATCACACACCCGTAATCTATCCACCTCCCAGTATCCCCACCTATAAGCATATAATGCACATGTAGATATAAATCATTATACTACTCAGACAGTCTAGTTCCCTAAAAATATGCAGTGAATCATCATGAATTTAAACTGAGGGTAACTTATACACACACATGCACACACACACACTAAAACTAATCTTTCTTTGTTGCTATAACCTCCATTAATATAAAAATTATAGTGAATATTTCCCTATGAATTGTGGAAAAATTTAAAGAATCATATTCTACTCGTGAAAACCATATTCCTGGCTTTGATTGTAGAGAGTCTTCTCTTGGAGCCTAGTTGTTGCATCCCAATCTGCTTTTGGAACAGTCTGAGATGGTCCGCCATATTCAAGCTTGTTTTTAGAACATAAATTGAGAGTTATCATTAAAAGGAAAAAGAATAATAAAATTCATTAGCATATAATTGGTCTTATCTGTATTCATTCATTTTTAAATACCTTTAAACAGCTTGAAAGTAAGGGACTAAATCTGAACACTAGTGCCTGGATGAACGACACTGTGACAGTTGACAGCACTGTGGGAAAGGACACTTTCTTTCTTGTCACCTGGACCAAACAGCCTCCCAGCATTTCTCTCTGGGATCCTAATGGAACACTCACAGCAAATTTCACTCAGGACACTGATTCGCGAATGGCCTATCTCAGCATACCAGGAGATGCACAGGTAAGTAATCACCTTGTAGACTTGCTCTGCATTTTGAAAGTTGAAAGTGTTTAATGTCATAATTGTAAATATCAATGATTTTACAACATGTTGAGTGAATACAAAATACTATGTACTTTCCATATTGTGTAATTCTGTAAGTAAGAACCATAATGAAAATGAGAAAAATCTCATGTACCAGAGGAAAGAAAACAAGGTAATCACAGAATAATTCTGTGAAGAGGTATAGAAAGAGTCTAGGCTACTTAATGTGCAGATTTTCCTTGAAGTCAAAGTAAAAGACCAAAACCAAGACAAACTTTGAAAATATATTTTTTGAGTTCAGATGTTACACAATGCAGTCACTAGTTGGGGTGCACTGCTTAAACTGTCTCAGTTGGAAACTTTACAAAATCGCAAAACCATCAACATCTGTTTATTCTTCTCCAAGTATCTACGGTGTGTATTAGAATTGCATAATCAGATTACAGGATATAATTTGACTATGAATACTTATGTTTTCATTGAACATTTCAGGTGGGCACATGGATTTACAATCTTCAAGCCAAAGCAGACTCAGAAACACTCACTATTACAGTGACTTCTCGGGCAGCAAATTCTGCCGTGCCTCCAATCACAGTGAGTGCTAAAATGAATAAAGACACAAACAGCTTTCCCAGCCCCATGATTGTTTATGCTGAAGTTCAGCAAGGGTATGTGCCCATTCTTGGAGCCAGTGTGACTGCTGTCATCGAATCAAGCAATGGACACACAACAGTTTTGGATCTGCTGGACAATGGTTCAGGTAATTTACACACTTTTATGAGTCAACCCATATTTTATAGTTCAGGGATTTTTTTTTTTTCGGTCCCTGTTGCAGTGTTGCAGAATAGCACAGGAACTCAACGAATTCAGACAGATAATGGAGGAATACAAGGACCAGTAGGACATTTTATCAGGTAAAATCTCAAAGTGCTTAGCAAGTATGTCCAATATGGCTAGATGGAGCTAAGAGGCCAAACCTGGGACCCTGGCAGAGAAAAGGAGAGGAGCAGAAGTAATTTCTAAAATCAGGAACAAATACAGACACAGGCCAGAGATCTGAGGTCTAGCAACAGCTAGAACTGCCACAAAAGAGGAGGGCTCATGACAGGGGCATTAGATACCAGGAAACAAGGAGCAGTGCTGGACTTACCTGTCTTCCTGATCTGTGTGAGTGAGTGGACCTTGCTCCAGAGACTGAAACTTCTGTTAAAATTCAGTGAACAATGCAATTGATTCAGTTATGTTTTAACCATATCTTCACCTGCAGGTGACAACTTGTTCTTTGAAGAACCTCAATGCCTTTTTCCCCAACTGTCTCTTCCCTGTCTGAAAAAACTGTTACACAATACTAAAACTTACCTCCTGTGTGTTGTTTTAAATCTTGGAATATTTTCAGATGAATATTTGGCTAACTGTGAAATTACTTAATTTTGAATGTCTTTCCCTACAGTAGATTTGGGTGATTAGTAATGGCTTAGAGTAGGCCTTTTTATACTTTAGTGCAGGGATGATGAACATTTTAGAGATAATTCGCAGAACTGCAACCCAAAACTCACTTATTTATTGTAGAGGGAAAACACCGGAAACATTTTTGTTTAGAAAAAACAAGTCACACATTAAAATGTCCTAAAAGAAAAACAAATAACCCACATTCAATATGTTCACCACCACTGTTTTAGTATGTAAAAGAAATATCTGGAGGCTTTGGTGAAATATAATTCTGAGGTTTTTCCATACATAGTGTGAGAAATTAGCATGTTTGAAACTCTCCAGTTCTAAGAGATACTGATACTGGTGCCCTAAGTGCTGTACCTCGCTTGTTTAAGATCGTCTGACACAGAATGGTAAATGTGGTTGGAAATAATCTTGGAAATTTAATAGGAGATTCTAATGCTAGACACAAAGTTCATGGTAGTCCTGAGTTCTTCCAAATGTTCCTTCAGTAGTAAATGGTGTTTTGCTCTGTCAGGCTAAAAGGTTAATGCATGAGGATAATAAGAGCAGGAAAGTAAAAAGGAATTGCTGAATAAGAGAAAACAAGTACTTTTACTTGAGGACTCAAAAAGGTAAATCCTCCAAAGGATGGGGTTTTTTGTAGTAAAGACCTTTTAGACAGCATGATTAATTTTGTAATGTAAGCAAACCACTGGCTGAGAAATGGTAGAGGAGTTATCAACTGTTGATAAAGGACAGATTGATAAAGGACAGAAAGATGTGATATGTAACTATTATAAATGCAGAAACAAAAGTGTGTGTATATGTGTTATATAGGTAGAAGTATATAGATACAAAAATAACTTAAGGGCATCAATATATTGTTTTAACAGAACATTACAGAAATAGTCTCCAGAATGTTGTTCCCAAAATACTTCCTCCAGACTGGATGATACACTTACTAAGACCAATGCCTGTCTCAGAAAATGCATCTGTTTATTGTCTTATTTTCAGTAATAATTTGTTTTTTCATTTCTACAACTAGGTGCTGATGCTTTCAAAGATGATGGGGTCTACTCCAGGTACTTTACAGGTTATTCAGAAAATGGCAGATACAGCTTGAAAGTGCGAGCTCACGCGGCAACAAGCTCTACCAGGAGAAGCTTAAAGCATGCGCTGAGCAGAGCTGCATATATACCAGGCTGGGTAGTGAATGGTGAGTGCCGCTTGCTACTTGAAACCTGTGCTGGCTGGAGTAACATTTGCAATTTGGTATGACAGAGGGGGCTTCCTTTCACAACTCAATACAGATGTCCTGTTTTTGAACTGGGATACTCAGGTAATTGCCTCCAAATTCAGCTTTGGAAAGAAGTCAGGCCCTTGTGAGTACTCAGATTGGCCACTTGTGTTCTGTTACTTTGGAACACCTGTATGATATCAACAATGATATACCCAACTTTCAGCTCAGGACACAGCAATTTGTTATCTATTTTTACCCTATAACATCTTGTTTAGGATACTAATGACAGAAGTCTCCCATCAGAAGTCTCCTAAGTTTAATATTATTTCACAAGACTTAGCCAAATGTTTCTGTGTATATGGCAAAAAAAAAGTCAAACGAGATAAGGGAAGTGTTTCACCGAGTTGTAAAAAAAACACCAGTTCAGTTGTGCCCATTTTAAACTGGAAACTATTTGATGTAGGGGAGATCGAAGGAAACCCACCAAGACCTGAAGCTGATGAGAATACTGAGATAATTCTGGAGAATTTCAGCAGAACAGCATCTGGAGGTGCATTTGTGGTATCAGGGTATCCAAATACTCCAGTCACTGACCCATACCCACCCAGTCAAATCACAGACCTGGCTGCCACACCTGAAGGAGAAGAGGTCACTCTAACATGGACAGCACCAGGAGAGGATTTTGATGTTGGAAAAGGTAAGAACAAAGTGTCATGTGTCTTATTCATATAGTTAAAGATGCTGTTTGCTAAAGCAAGGATATAAGAGTAAGTTAAGGGAGAATAGTACCTACCTGACAGTTCTGCATACTGCTAACTTCAGAATTTTTTATCAATCAAACATGACACATTTTACCGTGGCCCTTCTTTTCATACTAAGGTAGTAGCATTTGGCAGAATTTAAAAATGAAAATGTAGCTTTTATTAAAAATCACTAAGACCTTTGAAATAAGGATATATTTGGGGTGGTTGATTTTTTATTTTGTTTTGGTTTGGTGTTTGTTTCTTTTGGATTTTTTTGTTTTTTTGGCGTATTGCAAATTGAACTCAAGACCTCACACTTGCTAGGCAAGTGCTGCACTGCCGAGTTATATCTCCAGCCCAACGATATACTTTGTATAACAAAAGAATGTCTTCAGGAATAAATGGAAAGAAATTTAATACAACATTCTACAGTTACTGAACTAGATGTAATTTTTTCTTAGTTGAACGATATATCATAAGGATAAGTGGAAGCATGATTGACCTGAGAGACAATTTTGATGATGCTCTTCAAGTTAACACGACTGACCTGGTGCCAAAGGAGGTCAACTCCAAGGAAACCTTCACATTTAAACCAGCAAATATCTCAGAAGAAAATGCAACCCACATCTTCATTGCCATTCAAAGTGTAGACAAAAGCAATCTGACATCAGAAGTGTCCAACATTGCTCAAGTGGCTTTGTTTATCCCTGAAGCAGATCCTGGTCCTGATGAAAGTGGTCCTGATGAAAGTGGTCCTAATCCTAGTCCTGATAAAAATTATCATTCTGGAGTTAATATTTCTATTCTGGTCTTGTCAGTAGTAGGGTCTGTTGTAGTTGTTAGTATTATTTTAGGCACTACTATTTGTATACTAAAAAAGAAAAACTCTTCAAACAGACCTAGAACAGGGTTTTAAAAATCAAAATAATATAAGTAAAAGGTATCTCTGAATTCCTAAATTCATCCTTATAGTCCTGAACTACAAAAATTATATTAAGAAGTCTAGAAAGGATATTTGGGTAGAAATAAACACTTCACAAATATGTAGAGCAACTGTGAATACATCATTTTATTAATTATATTTATCATTTGAATGAATTCATTTTAATTATCTTTATCATAGTGATGAATAAAGATCGTTCTTCCTATTGATCCCTAGTTGTGTATCATTTTGTGATGAATTCTTTTCTAAAATGATGTTCAATTTCATAAAGAAGCTAAAATTGTCCATTTGAGTATTCAAAACACAGATTAAAATACCAAATAAATAATATTTGGGAAACATTGATTTGGTGTTGGTGCTATCAATATTAGTTGGTGGCATTATATTCACCAGAAATCTCCAGTTATACATTGTAATGGCTACATTGCTATTCCTGCAATTCATGAGTATAGGAGAAACTAATAAAAATATCACACACTACCTGTCAAACCACAGATTTTCCTAACTTCAGTTCAACACAAACATTTATCTTTTCCTTGAATAGCCATAATCCCTATAATTTTTGTTTTCATCACGGAAAAGAATCACTGAAGCAATAATCTGTTGACTTTATTTTCAGAAAAAGAAAAAAAAATATATATATATATATATATATTTAAAACATATTTTCATTCATCACTCAGCATCACAGCCTGGGAGTTGCAACCATATTACTAAGAAAGTTCAGTTAGGAGAGAATGCAGGTTGAGAAGACCTGGTTCACACGACAGCGCTCTTGGTAAGTGTGTCATGGTGCTGGGTTACATCAATATGGTTTTAATTCTCTTCTAACTGCTGGTTTTCTCACACTGCAGTTTTATTCCCTAGCTAGCAACCCAGGGACCTGGAGAGCATCTAAGCAAAAGCATCCTCTCATTTACTTCCTTACTGCATGTACTTTGGGCAGGAATCATTTGCTGATCTGGAATTTACATGATATAAGCTGAACCTCAGGATGACTTTTAACATTTTGAACACAGAAGAGACTTTGACCTGACATAATTACCTTAGTCTGCTTAGCAGGGTTGACCGAAAGGGCTTGTAATTTACGCTGAACGTGATAAAAGCAAGGGGGCAAGAACTGGGTGGAAAAATCCTGATTTTGCAGGATGGTGTGATTGGTCCCACAGCACGTGGAGCAGAGTGCACTGGGCTTTCAGAGACTGTGTTTTGGACACAGAAAAGTCACGGCAATTTTAGTTCTTTCAGCAGTATCACCTGCCTATCCGGGACTAATGACTGAAGTTGTACACATACTCATGAAGAAAATGTGAAAAAGGAGTATGAAACACCTGGCCTTTTCCCAGGAGATAGACAAAATTCTAAAGTTCTATACACGCAATAGAGGTACCATACAACAGTCCACTTTCACTGTCGCCTTCCCACCCAGCCATCCCTAACTTACAGCAAGTTTTTCAGGCCAGTTATTTCCCTCTTTGAAGCTCCTGTGCAATAACATCATTGCTTGCACAGTGCAAAGTAAATTAGCCATCTAAGTAAGAGATTTTTTAAAAAAAGAATAGAGTGAGTATATACAGATTCTGTTAATATTCTTCATAATGAAATAAAGCAGAGATGAGTATTAGAATTATAAGTAACATATTACAAGGATGGGCTTTATTTGTAGAAAAATTTAAATTTTAACTCTGTATATGTAAAACTGACTAAAAACTTAAACTTAAAACAAGTCTTTGGAGTCATACTAGGGTATAAAAGTAAATCGTGGTTAAATCTTTGTTTTGCAATCTGTAGAATGGTGTAACAATACTAACCTCCAAGTGTCGTATAGAACTCACTAAGTGATGGCTGGTGTTTGGCCTCATTCCTACATATATTAAGTTATAAATAGAGAAATGAAGGAAAAATCACTTTCAGATGGGAGAAAAGATTCAAAAATTATACATCTGATAAAAAGTTAATATCCAAAATACGTAAAAATTTCAAACTATACAAATAGCAAAAAACAAAACAAATAATGATTTTAAAATAGGCAAATGATCTAAACAGAATTTCTCAAAAGAATACATACAAATTACCAACAGGTGTATTTTGAAAATCCACAACACAATTAATCATCAGAAAAATGCAAATTAAAACTACAACCAGACTATTACTTCACACCTATTAAAACTATAAAAGATCATATGTGTCACAAGGGTGTGGAGAAAAAGTAACCCAGGTACACTGCTGATGGAAATGTAAATTAGTGCCAATATGAAGGTTCTTTTAAAAATCAAAAATAGGACTACCATATTGCTATAGTCTGGATTTTGAAGTCCATGTGGTAAAAGACTTGGCCACCAACCATTGGCACTATCGGAAAGCAGTAGAATCTTTAAGACCTTGGACCTAGTGGGAGAGACGTAGGCCCTTGAAGACACGCCCTCGGAGTTGGGAATTGGACCCCAGCCCCTTCTCTTTCTCTGTTTCTCAGCCACTCTAAAGTGAACAGCATCCTCTAACAGGGCCTCCCATCATGATGTACTCCTCACTATAAGACTCAGGCTGTAGGACCAAGCAACCTTGGATCGAAGTCTCTGAAACCATAAGCCAAAATAATCCTTCTACCTCATACATCGTTTAGCTCAGTATTTTCTCCCAGAAACAGAAAGATAACATATGTGTCACCCAGCAATCCCACTTCTTGGTACATACCAAAGGAAAAGAAATCAGTATGTTAAGAGAGATCTCAAATCCTATATTCATTGCAACATGATGTACAACACCCAAGAGTTAGAACCAACCTAAGTGTCCACCAGCAATGGATGCATAAGGAAAATGTGGTACATATATAATGGAATACCAGTCTTTAAAAAGAAGGAAGTATCATTATTTGCAAAAATGTACACAAACCTAGAGAAAGTTATGGTAAGTAACCTAAGTCAGGTAAAGAATCTGAGGAGTCTAAAAGATTCACTTACAAATGGGATCAGAAAAGATTGTACTCAGAATCATTTTATTATTTTTTTTAATTTTTTGGCTTTTTGAGACAGAGTCTCACTATGTCATTCAAGAAGGCCTTGAGCTTACTTTGTAGTTCAGACTGGTCTCGAATTCACAGCAATCCTCCTACCTCACCCTCCCAAGTGCTGGGATTACAGGGGTGCAGCATCATACCTGGCAGTACTCAAAATTAAAGAGCATAATAGTGGTTAGCAGAGGCTGAGGGTTCAGGGAATTGTGAAGATGTTGGTCAAAATCACAAAATTAAAGTTAGATAAAAGGAACAAGTTTAAGAGATCCATTGTACAATATGCTACCTACAGATAATAAGATACTGTGTAATTGAAACTTGTTCAAATAAAAGAATTTAAAAGAACTAGCTACAAAAAGATAACTATATAAAGTAATGCAAATGTCATTACCTAGAGTTAGTCTTTCTGAAGCATATATGCACTAAAACGCATTGCTGAATACCATATATATGTAATTTTAAATTATAAATAAAGATTTTTAAAGAAAAATTTCATTTTGGTCCTAAATAGTAAACAACTTCCAAATGTAAATAATTAAAAGTTACAAAGTGCTTTTTGTCTTATTTAATGATGTATCTTCCATGAGACTCCTCAATTTTTTACGTGAAGAAAATCTTGCCTTTTCCACCCACTGTCATTCCATTCACCCTCAGATTCCGAACAAGCATGTAGTTTTTCCATTAACAAGGGACTCTTGCTAATGGAACAAATGGTATTTATCCCCTATCATTGAAGCCTGGGGAAGAGCAAAGAGAGACCTCAATTCAGAAAAAGGAGGTGGAAAGTAGCATTTTCTCCCTAAGCCCTGAGTCACAGAGAAAAAGGAGTGGCTCAAACTTGTAGTTGGATGGTGACTACGAGTGACCCATCAGCCTCCATGGAGAAACGCCCTAGTGGAACAGAGTAGTGGATGCAGTAGACTGTAGAGGTTGATGAGTTAGTTTATCAGATTCAGACATTTCCTCATAGAGGGCAACTGGCCAGCTGCCATCTTGGAGAGAGGTCAACTGAGCTTGGTTGACTCCCCATAGCTCCCAGTGACAAGATAAGTTGAAACCAAGATCAAGTCAGTAGGCAGTCAAGGAACTAAACTGAAGCCAGCAAGAGGTACACGGCGTGTTGCAGGCTGAACAAATTGGGTTCTAGCTTCACAGCCAAAAAGCCAACTTAACTTCAGAGGAACTAAAGGTGCAGGTTTATGAGGATTATCCACAATTACACCACAGATTATCCAGTATTGCTCAGCTGGCTCACTGGGACTCATAAAATGGATTTGGACTCTGTCTGCCCACTTTACCAATGACAGCAGAGACACAGCCTAGAGAGGAATTCTTTCTCTCTCTCTCTCTGTCTCTGACTCTGTCTCTGTCTCTCTTTTCTTTCTTTCTTCTATTTTCTGTTTTGTTTCGTTTTCTGCTTTGCTTCACTTTTTCTTGCTTGTTACATGAATATGAACATTATTTCTAGTCTTTCTGTTGTTGTTCTGTTCTTGCTTTTATTTCTTCCTTCTCTTTTGATTCTGCCTTAGTAGTTTCCCTAAGTTCCCATAACCTTCCTTTGTCCTGCCCAGCTTCTAATATCTTCCTTTTCTCCTTTTTCTCAATTTTTCCTATCCAAACCCTTTAAAATTTTCTCCTTATGAGTAAATGCACTATACTGAGGGCAGATTTACTGTATAAAATTTTTTAGTCTGTTTTGTTGCTGTTGTTATTTTAATTTTGTTTCTGTCTTTTTCAGACAGAGTCTCACTAGACAGTTCAGGCTGGGCTTGAGCTCACTTTGTAGCCCAGGCTGGTCTGAAACTTGCAATGATCCTCTTGCCTCAGCCTCCCAAGTGCTAGGATTGAGTGCTAGGATTGAGGCATGCATCACAACGCCTGACCTCTGGTCTGATTTACATTTTATTATATAACCACAAATACAGTTCATATGGTTAAAGGTGACAAATTAATTGTTATAAGTTTGTCATTTTCTAGGCTATGTTGGAAGCTATTGTTATTACTGATTGTACTACTCCAGCAAAGGTGACATAATGATCCTAATCAGTTGTTTTTCCTGGTATGCCAAGACTGAGATTGCCTAAGATTGATAACAATACTGTAGACCAGTGCCAAAGAGCCAGAGGGTAGATCAAATAGGAAACAAATTCTCAATCCCAATATATTGAACAGGTAGGATCTTGCAACACAGTCAAAACCCAAAAGCCACCTACATCTGGAAGAAATCTCTGAGAGGTAGTGATTTCCTAAGCATTCTCAATTTATTCTAGAATAAAATCAAATCAGAAATAATTTCTCAAATGATTACTGAGATGGTGACCAGAAGAGAAAGGACATGGCTAGTGACTGAAATAGACACAAAAACATTCCTAAACTTCATTTGGAAATAAAAGAGACCTAGAACAGCAAAGACAATCCTGGGCAATGAAGGCAACGCAAGAGACACTGCAATTTCAGACCTGAAATTATATTACAAAGCTACTGTGATAAAATCAGTAAAAGGTTCCTTTTACTGATAAAATCAGTAAAAGGATTTTACTGATTTTATCAGTAAAAGGAACCTTTCTCCACTTTTGGTGGGAGTGTAGATTAGTGCAACCACTATGCAAATCAGTGGGGGAAATTCTTTTTAAAAAGTAGGACTAGAGGTCCCATTGGATCCAGCTATTTCCCTTCTTGGTATCTTCTTGAAAGAATTAAAAGCATCATATCACAGCTATATATGCACACCCATGTTTATAGTGGTACAGTTTATAATTGCTAAG